TTTGAGCTATTATAAATAAAACTATTCTGAACATCTGTTATGCATCGGAGAGTTAGACAATGACTAGGGAGGACAGAAGGAGAATTCATGCCTTTGAGTGGTGGTGCTGGAGAAGAGTATTGAGGGTACCATGGACTGCCAGGAAAACAAACAGATTCGTCCTGGAAAGGGTTAAACCGGGCGGCTCCTTGGAGGCAAGGATTCTGGGGCTTTGTCTGACATACTTTGGACATGTTGTAAGGAGAGACAGGTCCTTGGAGGGGGATGTCATGCTTGGAAGGGTAGAGGGACAGCACAGGAGGGGAAGGCCCTCTATGAGGTGGATTGATTCAGTGACTGGGGTAATCAGGATGGGTATGTCAGAGACAGTGCGATTGGCACAGGACAGAGCAGGGTTTAGGGCTGTTATACACAGGGTCGTTATGAGTCGCAAGCGACTCGACGGCAAACAACAACAACAACAATTCTGAACATCTATTATGTTTGAGAGAGTGGAGGGATCACGCAGGAGAGGAAGACCCTCGATGAGATGGATCGATTCTGTGAGTGGAGTGGTGGGAATTAGTGTGTTTGAGATGGCGAACTTGGCACAGGATAGAACTGCGTTTAAGGCTTTTGTGCATAGGGTCACTATGGATTGCAAGCGACTCGATGGCACACAACAACAACAACATGTAGAAATAAATTATTGATGACTGGAATGCAAAACTTAGAAACAGTCAGGAAGGAATGGTAGTCAGAAAATACTATATAGGTGACAGAAATGATGCTGGGACATGGAATGATTGAATTTCGTACATTAAATGATTTATTCATCACAAATACTTTAAAAAAAAACACAACAAAAGGTCTCTTTACATATGGACTTCATCTAAGGAGTTGCACATGAATCAGATTCACTGTATCTGTGGAAGAACAAGAAGCTCAGTATCAGCAGTCAAAACCAGGCCAGGTGCTGACTGTGGAACAGACCATTAGTTTCTCATGTGCAAGTTCCAATTGAAGCGGAAGAAAATAGAAAGTCCACAAGAACCAAAATACAACCTCTAGTCTATCCTACCAGAATTTAAAAATTATCTCTAGAATAGGCGTGAGGCACTGAACACTAATGATTGAAGACCAAAGGAGTTATGAGATGACATCAAAGAATATCTATGAAGAGAATATCTACAAAGACAAAGAAGGAAAGACCAAAATGAGTGTCAGAAGAGATTCTGCAAATTGCATTAGAGTGACAAGAAGCCAAAACAAAGGAAAGAAATGCCTAAGAGATGAACAAAGATGTCAAAGAGATGAACAGGCAATAAATTGCACAAAAAAACAGTCCATCTTTCTTTCACAGAGTGGTTGGTGGGTTCCCACAGGCACATGGTTTGACTCAACCAGCTGCTCCATAAAAGAAGGATGGGCAGTCTCCTCCCATGCAGTTTACTGCCTGTGAAAACCCAGTGGAGTGTCAGCTGTGAGTCAGTTCTTACTTGACTACATACAAAAACAACATGAATAAATGTGCTTGTGTGTGCGTGTTGTTGTTACGACTTGTCGAGTCAGCTATGACCTGATAGCTCTGAACTCTGCCCTATTTTGAGTTAGTCTCACTCTGTGTGACACACCTGTCTCCATTGCCACAGTCACTGTGTCAGTCTACTTCATCCAAGGTCTTCCTCTCCTCGGCTGACTAAAGGGCATCCAAGTATGATGTCCCTCTCCAAGGATCCTTCTGGCAACATGTCCAGAGTGTGTAAGATAGATCTACAAAATCCTTCCCTCCAAAGAACAACCTGCTTTCACGCTCTCTAGGACAAAACTGTTTATTATCCATGGTATATTCAGGACTCTTCAGCACCACAGCTCCGTGGCATTGATTTTTCTATCATTTGTAATCATTGTCCAATTTCTCTTTGCAAGTAATCGAGAAGACACACCTTAGTCTTGATAGGTGCACCCTTGCTCTTTAGCACTCTGGTCGGTCCCTGACAGCAGACTTTTGTGTTGCAACTTGCTTTTTTATTTTCTGATTGCTGGTGCCGAGAGTGTTGTTGATTTTGGATCCAAACAAGAAGAAATCATTAACAACCTCAGTCTCTTCTCCATCTATTGTGATGCTACCAATTGGTCTTGTGGTGAGAATATTTGTGTTGATGTTGAGATACAGTCCGTATTGAAGACTGCAATCCTTGACTTTCTGGAGCAAATGCCGTATGTCCTCCTCAGTTTCAGCAAGCAAGATCATGTCATCTGCATATTGCAGGTTGTCGATGAGTTTTTGCCAATCTTGATGCCACATTTCTCCTCGTAAAATCCAGCCTCCCAAATGATCTTTTTCACATATACATTGAAAAGGTATGGAGAAATTATGCATTCCTGATACTCTTCTTTCTTCATTGTGATCCATACAGTGTTTTCTTCCTCTGTTCTGATGACTGCTTTCTGGTCCAAGTATAGATTTTGCATGAACACCAAAATGTGTCTGGGATTCCCATTCTTCTCAAGGTTAGCCACAAATTTGTGTGAGCCCTGCAGTCAAATGCCTTTGCAAATCAATGAAACACAGATAGACATTGTTCTTTAAAAAAAATCTGATTTATTTTTAAAGTTTGAATACATTGTTTTTCACAAAATATCCTTCTCGTTTTCCTTCACCTAACACACCTGTCGAAGTGAGCAACCCTATGTGGTACTTTCTGATTTCAGCCAAGATTCATCTGACATTGGCTATTATGTCCCTAGTGCCACACCTCTTCTACACCTAGCTTGTATTTCTGCTAGTTTTCTATTGATGTACTGTTCCAGTCGTTTTTAGATAATCTTCAGCAAGATTTTGCTTGAGTGTGATATTAGTGATAATGTTTGATATCCATACTTTGTTGAATACCTTTTTTGAGAATGGGAATAAATACGGATCTCTTTCAGTCAGTTGGTCAGGTAGTTTTCCTTCTGATTTCTTAGCACAATCTAATGAACTTCTCCAGGACTGCATCTGTGTGTTGAAGTATGTCAATTGGTATTCCATCAATTCCTGAAGCCTTGTATTTTGCCATTTCCTCCAGAACAGCTTGAACTTCCTCCATCACTATTATCTCTTGGTCATAGAATTCTTCATAAAATTCTTCTGTGTCAACCAATTATTTTTGGTATAGTGGCTCTGTGAACTCCTTCCATCTTCTTTTGATGCTTCCTAGATTATTCAGTATTCTGCCCATATCCTCTTTAAATTTTGTAACTTGAGGCTTGAATTTATTCTTCAGTTCCTTCAGCTTAAGAAATGACAAGCACTGCACTGCCATCCCAGAGGTGTGCAGTTCAAATCCACCAGATGCTCTGCTGGTGAAGGAGGGGGCAATCTCCTCCTGTACCAGTCAGATCCAATTTGAGATACACACACACACCAAAAAAAAAAAAAGATAAAAATTTTTAAAAAGAAATTACGAGTAAATTTCTCCTTTTTGAGATAGAGAGTTCTGCTGGCTTAGTGGTAAGGAACTGTGCTGTCAACCCAGATGTATATGATTCAGATCCACCAGCTGCTCTGCCAGAGGATGGGCAGTCTCCTTTGCAATTTAATGTCTCTGAAAACCTTGTGGAAGGTCAGCTGTGAGTTAGTGTGTTCTCTCTCTCTCTCTCTCTCTCTCTCTCTCTTTCTCTCTCTCTCTCTCTCTCTCTCTCTGTATGTGTGAAAGAGAGCTCTAGTGCCACACTTTGCCAGGATTTGCACTGTTAATGCAAAGATAGATAGATATTTGCTATTCTTTATCTTTAAAAATATTTGAATTTTAGAAATGTTGATCTGTCTCATAAATGTGAGAAAATGAAACAGTTTGCACTTGACTTGGAATCAGCTCTTTCCTGGCCCTCCAGTAGGTTTTCTGAAGCTGTAAATTACACCAAAGGAAATAACCCATCTTTCCGCACACAGCACCTGATTCAAATGCCCTGTCTTTGAGTTGGCAGTGCAACTCTATACCCATTAGTCCACCAGAGTCCCAGTTCTGATACTTGTTCTTAAATGCTATTCTTACTGGAAACCTGCCTTATTATATTCTACTTCTCCACAGAGAAAATAAACTTCTGTTCTTGTGTGAGAGTTTCATGTGTGATTTTTCTCTATGATTTTACCATTGATTTACCCTTTATTTTACCGATAGACACACTAAAGAGAGAGCTGCAGATTAGGCCTCCAGAGACTCAAATTCTCCTGACAGCTCTTCTGCTCCCCCCTAAAATTGATGCTGAAATGAAATACATTTTTCAGGATTCTTTGCAGGCCTTGCAGCCTGCGAGGCTATTCCAGATCCTTGGTTGTACAGTTTTAAATGGATTGAAGTCCCTAATGAAAGTGTGTAAGGGAAGTGTGGAATTTAGCATTTATTACATTTTCATAGGAATATGAAATTTGTTCTAGAATGCGCAAAGAATAGGTAAGAGGTGATTGGATGTATGAGCCAATAATTGTAAAAATAATACGTGACATTAGATGTTCAAAATTTTAAAACATCCGATACTGTGAAGAGTAAGTGGGATATTTATACAAGAAGTTACTTATGTCTTATCTTTAAGAATAAGTTAGAGAATCCTTGATAAGGAAAACAGCAGCTGAGATTGTGGGTTTAAGGGTATGATCTGTTTTGAGATGAATGAGTTACTCTTACACCATTAGGTCTCAGAGGGTCTTCCACAGCATGTTTATTGTTCCATTGATATAATGTGATGTGGCTTCTGGGAAGATGGTGGTTCCTGATGAGCTATTCTAGATTTACTTACCTCGTCTAGACGATGACCATCATTCATTATTAAATCTGTGTGCTTTTAAAAATTTCTCCAGTTGTTATTAGGTGCCATCAAGTGTTATTCATAACAACCCTGTGAACAACAGATAATTAGTGTCTTTTTTTTAACCTTCCAGGATTGTTCCATGATTACAGATAAAAAATGTTAAATACATATTTATATAAAAGTGCCTTATTTTTATTGGTTTTCCTTTGCTTTTTTTTTTTTTTTAGGCCACCCAGACCTTTCAAGTTACCAAAAAGGTAAACTTATTTGCATGTGTTTTTCCTTTCTAGTTTTTTCCACACATTTTGCTATTTCTAGCTTCTTTATCCTTATTTCTTATGAAGGAAAATTAACTTTCCTTTTTTTTAATGGATTAACTTCTCAGTGTCTCGCTTATTGAAGAGAGAGGTATACTGGTTCTTCACCTTCCAGCCTTGAAATCATATCTTTTTTTTCCCACTGGATTTATGTTTCATTTTAACATTTTTATGCCAAATTAAGGCTAGCTACAGGTATTCTTTTATATGAAAATACTTTAATTTTATCTTTTCTGTCAAAAAAGCAGATTTGAAATAGGTAAGAGTTCTGAATAAATACATAGTCTTATCAGCTGTCCTTCAGTATGTGTTTCCATGTAGAAATGTCATTATAGACATTTTTATTATAGACATCTTTCCCACAGAAACTTACATACTGTTAACTCCGAGGCCGTTTCAAAACATTTTCATCTTTCTGAAGACTCTTTAGCTTGCTCTCTCATTGCCATCAAGTTGGAACCAATTCATAGCCAACCTTTCAGCAGGTCTCCAGAGGTTGTAAATCATGTAAGAAGAGATTACCTATTACTCTCCCACAGAGCAGCTGGCAGTTCATACCACCTGCCTTTAGGTTGGCAGCAAAACTCCCTTACCCATAAGTCTTCATTAATTAACCCCTCTTTGGTTTTGTTTTTGTTTTTTAATTTTTTTATTTATATACCCACATAAATGCACATATATCCCTCACTTACTGATATGAGCAGGTTCCAAAGACCCAGGTCATTATGTGAAAATAAAGGATGACCAAATCATATCACAAAATGGAGGGTTAATACATCATTAAATAACAGCCAGAGCACTCAGAATCCTAAGTTAGCTAGACTGAAATAAATTTAACCGTCATAGCCAATATTACCATCACATTGTACCTCAACATATGTTACTGCCATAACCTATGTATTCATTGGCAAAATAGTCATGTAATAGTTTTTCCCTTTTGTTTACTGTTGCAAACATACTGTTAGTTAACAAGATAGTTGATAAATGAGAGTGTGTGTGTGTGTGTGTGTGTGTGTGTGTGTGTTTGTGCATGCACACACAAACTTAGCCTCCAAATTGTTAGTAGGACTGTCCCATAAAGTTTCCTAGTATAATTATGAGATAGGACTCGTTTGATTTTTTTATTTAAGCCAATATTCTTCTAATAATTGTTTAAAATGGACACATCTCTCATTTTCAGTGCATTCCAAAGCTTGATTCAGGTGGGGAAAAGTTGTTGGTTTCAATATCTATGAGAATCTGTACTTTGTATTAGAAAATTGCTTTGGATAGAGGAGAAGCAGGTTGCTGTTCAGGGTTAGACTCAGAGAGTAAAACATAACTTAAAACATACTTTAAGGTAGGACCTTAAAATTTTTTTTTCCATGGTTATAGGTTAGAAGGTGAGAGACAATATGTTTGGTTGCAGATTGGGAGACAGCATATTGGATGGTGTACTAGTTATCTCTACTGCTATAACAGTTACAATTTGGTGACTTCAACAAATAGAAATGTATTCTCACATAGTTTAAGAATGTAGAGGTCCAAGCTCGGTATTTTGGTTTTGTTTTGTGGTGTGTTATTTTTTTAATTAAAATGTAATAATCCTTATTAATAATACAGTACAGTCAGGATAATTTCTAAAATGTGCTTGCAGGTACCTCAACTTTGAGCCTTGTGGCTTAAGTCCAATTTTACAAAGTTCTCAGTCCTGCCAATATTGGCTCCTCACCCCTAGTTATCCAGTAAACTTGGGAAAAAGCTTTTTTAGCTCTAGTTCCAATGGTGTAACAGTAAAAAATTTCATCTCACATCAGGTCTCTGGTGCTCCATCTCATGTCAGGTCTCCTGTTTTCTGCTATGGCTTCTAGGGCTGTTGGTCCTGTGTAGACCCTCCTGCTTGCCCCTTTCCTGGCAGTGAGGTTCTTCTTTGCTGGAAGAAAAAGTCTAATTTTCCTGTTGCTGGATTGCTCAATTCAATGGTGAGACTAGCCAGTCCCCTTGTGGATTGGTAGATAACTAATTTCCTTGTGGATAGGTTAACATGCCTCATTTACATTTTCCTGCCCAAATAAGTCGCAAAGTCAAACTATGTCTAGGAAAATCATGTTGTTATTTTGTTTTGTGCCATCAAGTCTCTTGTGACTTGTAGTGACGCTGTGTACAATAGCTCTGAAGCCTGCCTTTCCTGAGCCAGTCTCACTCACTCTGACATACCTACTGCTATTCATACCTACTGCTGTTGTCCTAGTTACTTGAAAGATAAACTCTGCACTTGAACCCATTGCAGTACTCACTGACTGTGTCAGTCCATCTGGTTGAGGGTCTTCCTCTCTTTTGCTAACCTTCCACCTTTCCTAGTATGATGTCCCTCTCCAAGGAATACCCTCTTTTAGCAACATGCCCAAAGTATGTGAAATGAAACAGTCATCTTTACCTCCAAGGAGCCCTATGGCTGTACTTTCTTCAAGACATATGTTTATTCTTTTGGCAATCCTTGGAATATTCAGTACTCAAACTCAGTATGTTGGCTCTAGCAGAAGGCTTGCTTCTGTCACTTCTGGAAGAAGACCATTTCTTGTTTCAGCATGTGTAGAGCTGGCATTTCTGGGATATCTTCTGTATCCTGTTCTTCTGAATTGAAGAGTTTCCTAGCAGAGGGGCCCAGCTCTACTCATTCTTCTGTCTTAGTGGTATGGGAATCTGTTCCCTTCTCTTTTTATCTTGTGAGTTAAAAGTACAGGCTACAAGTCAGGGAAACTCCTCCTTTCATGAGATCAGGGCTGTGACTTGATTAAAACTTTTACCTCCCACCCTAATCCTCTTATGACTGATCACATCTCAGATCACATCATGACTACATCATTACACAACTCCCTTTAATCCTGCCTCATTAACTAAAACCATAGAAGGTTAGGGTTTATAACACATATAATAATTGCTTTATACTGAGAATCATGGCCCCGCCATGCTGACATATTTTGGAGGAACACAATTCAATCTGACTGGTGGCTTTAATGAACTAGCCTCACCAATACATTTGTTAAAATATCAGTTGTTTTATTTCATCTCACATGATAATTTTCAGGTTTTGTGTGTGTGTGTGTGTGTGTGTGTGTGTGTGTGTGTGTATCTCATAGGAATATGTAAAACATTAAGTAAAACTTTCCCATGCCCTAATGCCATGGGAAAGTTTGCTGTTAGGGACCTCTCCAAAGTACTGAAGAGCAATGGTGTCTCTCTGGAGACTAAGGTGCGTTTGATACAGGCCATGGTCTTCACAATCATTTGTTATGCATCAGAGAGTTGGACAGTGACCAAGGAGGATAGAAGGAGAAATGATGCCTTTGAGCTGTGGTGCTGGAGAAGAGTATTGAGAATACCTTGGACTGCTAGGAAAACAAACAGATTTGTCCTGGAAAGGGTTAAACCGGGTGGCTCCTTGGAGGCAAGGATTCTGAGGCTCCGTCTAACATACTTTGGACATGTTGTGAGGAGAGACCGGTCCTTGGAGAAGGACATCATGCTTTGGGAGGGTGGAGGGACAGCACAGGAGGGGAAGGCCCTCTATGAAGTGGATTGATTTAGTAACTGGAATAATTGGGATGGGAGTGTCAGAGACAGTGCAATTGGCACAGGACAGAGCAGAGTTTAGGGCTGTTGTACATAGGGTCGCTATGAACCACAAGCGACTCGACGGCACATAACAACAACAACAACAACATCTTTAATTTAGTGATAGGCTTGTGTTAGGAACTTGACTTTTCCCATATGCTAGGTTCATCTGTTTGGGCTGTTAGTATTTTTAAAATTTTTCTAAAGTTCAATTGTAAAGATTGGAGTATCAATAGACAAAACTTGAATATTGTGTCCTTTGCTTACCATGAAGGCAAAGATAGCCTATGAAAGTGTTTGACTGCTATATCAGCCAGATTGTCTGCTCTGATTTCTTTAGTTTGAGGTAATCTTTTCAATATAAGCTTATGTGCTTGTTTTGGTTCGGGAGATTTTTTTTTTTACATGTTCAGAGGAGAATAGCAGAGTGTCTACAAGATTTACCCCCAAAGTTCCTGTTTTTAATGGCAGCTCTTGAAAAGATTAGAGATTCTCTTTGTTTTTTGTAGTATATAAACATCATGTTACAACCCCCAAACAATAGTAACTGTACAGATAATAACAAACTTTCCTGAAGCAATTTTACAGACTAGTAAGAGCAATTAATTTAGCCTCTTGGGCTGGAGTGACTTTAGGAAGAACTTGACTTCCCAGGACTTAAGTAGAAGTGACTATTTAGCCAGCCTGAAAGTGAGAGCTAGTAGGATTGAGCCTGAAGTGTGAAAAGAAAGTCAGGGTTAGCAGGAGTTTCTCTTAAATCTTTCTGAGTAGTTAAAAGCTGCATGGCTTGATCTAGTTGATCCTGTAAGCTACAGAGAAAAGAGAGGCTGGATTTAAGAAAGCCACAAAATTTACTTAATGATGTTAGATGCAGCCTGAACATTGTAAGTCATCTGACAGGTAGGTGCTGAATCAAGGCAGAATTAAGCAGGACAGATCCAGCATGAATGAAGGTGATGTGGAAACTATACAGTGATTTCACATGATCTAAGAAAACCAAATCATTTTAAAATATAAAGGTTGTAATACAGCACCATTTTAATCATATCACCACCTTGATCCAGTATAAAGGAAGCTTCCCTAGAATATGGCCTAGAACATATTTTATCTCACAGAAGATAAAAAGGAAAGTAAGTCAAGAAGGAACTTCAATACTACCAAGAAATAATTGCTAAGAAAATAGTGCATCTTTTTGATGCCTACACTAGGAAGCTCCTTGATGTGAGGAAAGGCCAAAACACATGGTAATCCCCAAGGAACACTGGTCCTACAGTTGTTGAGGAACAAGAACCTTCCATCTGAACCCATGGAGAGGACTGTGCTAGCACCTGGAATTTGGACTTCTA